TGCATTTTATCGTCTACGAAAACGTGAAGTCACGGACGGGCAGACAGATGGACAGACGGACTGACAGACGGACAGACAGGCGGACTGACAGACGGACAGACAGACGGACGGACATGGCGAGCACAATCGGGCATTTTTTCCATAAATGAGAAAATGCGCTAGAAATACCATAGGTACTCTTTTAATCCTCAAATTAGAAAAAACAAAGTATCCTACTGGTGTATTTCTATATATAACAGAATCCGATTCTCCTCCACACATACCACAGTTCCGGATGCTGAGTCATAAAAATGTCAGAGCATCCAATTCCCATATAGAAAAATAACAGCAGCCAATGCCTGAATTTAAAAATGAAGCAGAATCCGATTTCTGCATGAAAAAAGCACTACCTCTGATTCCTTCATTATGAATAACATTGCCTCCATTTTTGCATGAAAAAATAACACAGCCTTCGATTCCTGCATCTAAAAATAATCAAGGCAGGCATCCGATCCCGCACACTTAGCATTAACAATCAACTCGCCGGTTGTAGGACCCAAAATTCATCGTATATAATGGTTAATTTCAGCTTTGGATTTTCTCAAATGTTCAGGCGTTAGCTCTTAAAATGGCAATCTTTTTAAATTGCGAATTATTGTTTAGTGCAATTTCACATTATTTCTAACATAATTTAAATTCGGCTCTTATGTCAATAACCAACATTCAACGTCGTTCATGAACGTGATTGCATTATGGGTGAGACTACTTTAATTTCATTTCATATTTGTTATTTGGGTAACATTTTTCCCAAAATCTAGGCATTTGTATGATGTAATCTTAAAAGTAATAATATCACTCGTTTGCTTGAATCGCAAATTCACTAAAAACTTAATAGCAAAGAAAACTGTTTATTGCTCTCTTCCATATTTCGGCCCTGCATCCGAAACTATGTCAAGAGAGCTAAAAACTTTTGTTTTCTAAGTATTTCGCAAATGTTAATCTTCGTGTCATATTGGTCAACCATTTAAAATCGGTTCTTTTTTAGGTATAAAGATACTCTCCCTGTGCATATGCGAGCGTCCCTAGTTTATAAATATAGTTGTGCACGATGTGCATCTGCGTACGTCGGAATGACGTCTCGCAATCTTTATTCTCGGGTCGCAGAACATAGGGGCAGGAGTTGTAGAACTGGTAACTTACTGTCGCGCCCACCTCATTCGGCTGTGCGGGTTCACGCCGAGCAGTGCGATGTTCCAGTTTCTGACAGTGACTTCAAAGTTTTAGCTTCCAGTTCCGGTGTTTCTGATTTGCGCATTTTNCGTTTAATATTTTGATAATATTCTAGATGGAGACCTAATTTACTATTATATGTTTATTAATTACCCATAAAAATTGGAGACAGGCTAAGGAACAGTTTGTTGGGGCCGAGGCTGGTGAACTGTCCTAACGAAAGCTCCAGGAAGAACAGCGGCAGCCCAGCCACCAGCAGCATGATCGTGTACGGCAGCAGGAAGATCGCTGGACACACAAGATACAATAATATATCTTGTCTTTTTATTTTTGAAAAGATTTTTAATAATAATAAAATAATTTAAATAATATTTTTTTATAATATATTCCTTTCTTATTTTTTATGTGTACCAGTTTGTGCTTTAAAATGTATGCATGACGGCAGTTGTATAATCTATATTATCCTGAACTTTGTATGACTGCCTAAAAGAAACATGATTTTATAAAGTATGTATAATGGAGATTGTGTAGTGTTCTGAATCTTGTATGACTACCAACGCAATTTATGCTGTATAATATATTTATAATGAAAATCGTAGAGTGATCTGAATGTAGTATATCAGCTTAATACAGTTCATGCTACATTATACACCAGGTCAGGAGAACCGAAATATCAGTTTTCAGTACAAATTGACCCTGGGCGTAAGTCTGCTTATTCGAACTTTTTTCGTTAAATTCACCGTAGCGTTGTACCGTTAACCGTTGAGTATATGTAGGTGCGCATAGAGCTATAATTTTTCTCAAATGAAGCTCATGAAGTAAACATTTAGCTCATTTTAAGTAAATATTTAGCTATGGTTTTACTGAACAAACAATGCAAATTTTCCAGAACAATAATGTCTGAAACAAGCAAAGCCTTATAGCAACAAAAATGTTGAAGCAACTCTTCAAATTCCATCATGTCACACAATCTTATATGCAAGCCACCACCTCCGCCGTTCTTGTAGGCGAGGTATGGGAACCTCCAGACGTTGCCGAACCCCACAGCGTATCCAAGACACGAGAGGAAAAACTCGCACTGACTGTCCCACGTCCCGCGCGTGTTGCCCCCTTCATCAGGGTTTGTGTCGTCTGCTGGGGTCACTTGCATCACCTTCGTTTCTTTCCCCATGGTGGGTTTGGGGGAGTGTACCTGGTTAAAATATAATTAAGTTAAGGTTTCATGATATAATATAATGATTATAAGGTTTCATAATATAGAATAATTATTATAAGGTTTCATAATTTAATATAATGACTATAAGGTTTCATAATTTAATATAATGATTATAAGGTTTCATAATTTAATATAACATTATAAGGTTTAATTATTTTCGTTTCTCACTGTTCTTGAAGACAATTGTGATATTATTGTTGAATGAATTAGGTAATGGTTATTTGAACAATTACAAGCAAGTAGCGGACGATTCGACGAGAAATTAGCGAGAAAAATTGATAATTTATAGATAGGATTCACGATTTTTTTCTCCTCAATCCTTGACATTTTAGATAATCTGAATATTTTGTAACCGTTCAATCACTCAAAATGACTTGAGTGATTTGAGCGTAACCGTTGATTTGTCAAATCACTTTGATAAATCAAGAAATGATAAATTAATTTTGATGTCAAAATCATTTTTTGGCACATTAAATCATTGAAACTCATGAATAACTTATGAATNAACGCATCTCCGTTAGATCAATGTAATCCCCTCATTTTGTACTTCTTTTACGTGAATTTTAGCTTCTTTCACGCTTCTCCTTTCACAGTAACACCGTCCTTAAACTTTTCCTCTATATATTTTCCTCCAGTGATTAACATTCATATTTATCTCTCCATTGATGGTCAGCGGCAAACTGGAATTTTCAGCAACTATTTACCTGGAACCTAATTCATATTACCTCAAAAGAATCATGTTCATGTAATTATCGAAGAAATATCTCGGATCTCATGCAGTGAATAAAATAATATTCTACGCACGATTCTCAAATGACAATTCCTGTGGCTTCTGCTATTCTTCACCGACAATAACAGAATAGGCATTGTAAAAATGTTGTTTGCATTGATATGCATGAACATTTGGTTTCCGGACCTTCACGCTTGACTGGCCTAAGAATTTCTTTTTGTTGTACACTTCAATGGGATCATTACCAGCCTATAAGGCATTTTATTCGTAGCCCTGAAAATTAATGGTAATTAGATGGGATGCCTGACTCTTAGATTGTTTTTCTTTATGATAAAATTGACTCGATATAATTATAATCTTGTTCGTTTAGATAATATTAAATATTTGTTGCGGAAACACCATCTATTTCCTAAGCCACGGATATAACATTAGCGATTCAATTATAAACATGAATATATTGAATTATTGAATCGGTTAGGAAATTTTTTGAGGAGTGAAAGCTATACCGTTAGTGAAAATTTATGTTAGTAGAACCATCTAATAAAAGTTTAAACAGTAATGTAGGATAATATATTTCTAACTAGAATACCTATTCATGTTTTTCTTTATCTTGATTGATGTCAGAAAACAAGTTGCTGGTGAATTTGTACACTTGAATTATTGAGCTTGAATTCATATTGAATTATTGGAAGTTACAATCAAATAATTGCTTCACTTATTTATCTAATTCCCGGACATCGTCAATAGTCAATGTCAGAATTTGAGCTTGATTATTGAATTTTCGAGTCTGATTTTTAGTATACAACTATATGAGCTGATCTCTACACTGATTTTTGAGTGTTCTCTTCGGAGAATAGCTTGTTACGCAGTTAAAATACTCTTTAATAAACACCGGCCCAGTAATTATAATAATTATCGCAATAAAAATATAATTATAGTCTAGTAATTACACAAATTAATAAAAAATAATAATAAGCAAATTATAATTTAATTCTGGTCCATAACATGATTCCGGACACGAGTATCTGACTTATTTGCATGTAAGCCTTCGGCATCTTGATGTAAGCAATGCGTGCCGAGCTCTTACATTTTAATGGCATCAATGTATGAAGGAAAAATATAATACGATTTATTTTCAATTCCCAGGCAAATAAGAAGACTTAGACAAAATATTACACAGAGTTTAAACTGAATTGAGTGAGCAGATAGTGTGTACATTCAGCCGGCGATGACTTGCACTTCTCGATTGAATGGTAATTAACTTGTGAATGAGTGTAATTTTTATTTAATGAATAAGGTTCAATTGAATTGAAATTAACCTGTGAATACGTAAAATTTTCATTAGTAAATATGGTTCAAGAATATCTGGTCCTCATGATATATGAATGAATTATGAATAGAATTTTAATTTGCGTAAATTTCCGTTGAACTGTATTGAACAAACTAGCACCTCGACTCAAAAAAATTTGTATGTATAACTCGTGTCTTCAATGGCAAAGATGTGTATAAGAGACAGACAATAATGTCTGAAACAAGCAAAGCCTTATAGCAACAAAAATGTTGAAGCAACTCTTCAAATTCCATCATGTCACACAATCTTATATGCAAGCCNATTTACCATCACATATTTAGCGGTGCTTAACACGGGACTCGTGCTTGTTCCACTCGAAGCGAACATGGAAATTTTGTGTCACTTTTTTATTCGAATTTGCTAAAATTACATGAAACTTATATATGTGACATTTAGCGTCGATTATAAAACTTGCCTCTCGAAAATAACTTGACTTAAATCGTCAACAGCTTTTTGTAAATCGTCAGCTAAAAAATTTGACAATTTTCAATTTAATGACGTGAGTGTCACCAAAATGTATTTGAGTTCTATGTAACTGCGACACGTATAGTAGGCATGTTGCTAAGCACGGCAGGATTACTAATTACTTGGACCGGGTGTTAGCAGCGATACCATTCGTGACTTCCATACAAATCCATGAAGCTGGTGATCGTTCAGTTAATCCATGAATGCTTCGGTTCGCACCGCACATAGTTCAGGCCATAAAATCTGTTTTCACTCATTATTATGTTGAATGATTGGTCATTTTAGTGTTATTTTATTGGTTTGCATTAATTCTGTTGTTTTAATTATTTTTATTTGTTTATAGGTGTCGGTCAGCATGGAGCGGCGTACGGAAATTATGTGTAAAAATTATTCGCGTCTGCAAATTTTCTAATAGTCGTAGTTATGCTTCATATCATTAATCATTTAACCTAAATTAATACATCTCTCTATTTATACTACTAAAATTTGAGACATAAACTGCTGCAAAAACCATGCTTTTCAAAGTTTTGAAATTTCATTCGAAGTATCATTCGTGAA